ATTTTTATATTTATCAGACCCCAAAACCCCAAAACCCCGCGAATGTATATTGCGTGAGTCATCAGAGGATGCACTAATAAATTAATAATTTATCTGGATGGAAAAATCAAGTTAAAATATTTGCTAGATTCACAAGAACTAGCCATTGCTTTTATTCTGCATGGAAGATAAATAAAAATTGTGTCTTAAATGTGTAACCTAGCATGTGGGACATACCATTAGTGACTTTGAAGATGTGTGCAAAGCTGTTATCATTCCAAGAATCCAAACCGAAATCGAGGAGTAATTTTCTAAGATGATTGTCATTAATTAAAACTCAGAATAGATCTAAAGCTATTAGTCTTAAGTCAAAACTAAATTATTAAAATAAGTGGAGGAGGTTGAAACTAAAGTTGATGAGTTATTAAAGAATATCTAATCATTCAAAGAAAATTATGTAAAAAAAGTTGAAGATTATATAGATTCAAATGACAAGGAGATCTAAACTTTGAATGACTATATAAACTCGATATAACCATTGAATTAAGAGTTTGTAAAGTACTTTGATGTTATTAATGAACTAAACAATGAAATAGAGCATGGTAAAATCATAGATATGATCTATGGCAGCGATGAAAGTTAAACCAAAGAGGATATTATCAAGGCAAAGATCAATTTAGTCGAAAAATTATAGTTAGAAAAAATAGAAAAATTATCTGAGTAGGAAGAAATTATAAAAAATGAGCTCATGATAGATATTGAAACAATTTCAAATGATGTAATTAGTGTCTTAAATTCAAGCAAGGAATCATAATTGAATAAATAGAACTAGAAATTACCAGTGATTTATTAGATAGATGAAAATCGTTGTGAACTAAAGTATTTTGACTTGAACTAGAGACAAATCTTTACTCGTAAAATTTCCTATGATACTCATATCATTCCATTATTCACAGGAGTTGGAAGTGTTCTGAACAGAATTTTCCTTTTCGGAGGCAAGGATAGAAGAACAAAGGAAATTACCTGCTAAAGTTATGAGGTGATCAAGGGTCCATATGAGGACTATGATTTAGCACTTTTGAACAAAATGTCTAAAAACAGGTCCAGATGTGCAGTAGCCTCTTTCAATAAGAAATTTGGGAAATTTGATCCATTTTTAGTGATAGTAGGAGGATCAGATTAATATAATGCACTTAATCACTGTGAACTATACTATCCTAAAACAGATACTTACTATAATTTCCCTAATTTAATGCTTCATAGAGAAAATTCTTCTGTGTGTCTTATGGATAATTGTTCTGGCACTGGGAAGACCTATCTTTATTGTTTTGGGGGTTTTAACAAGTAAGCTATTGATCAAATAGAAAGGATTGAGATAAATTTTGATTAGGATGGAACTCATCCATTAAATTAATAGAAATGGGAAATTTTAAAAAATGTTACAATGGATAGAAGTGCTGAAAGTTGTGGTTTATATCAGCTTAGTGAAAATGAGATTATGATTTTTGGTGGGTTTTAAAGAGGTGAGGATGATTCAACTTAAGTAATGATCTACAACATTGATTCTCAATCATTTTTAGGCATAAGATCAAGATTAAAAGAATAAGACTGCTTTGCATTGGCATCATTTACTCATATTTATTCAGATAATCAAGAAGTTATTACACCTAATGAAGAAAATTAATTGATTTAAAAATCAAAGGAGAGTAAGCATCTCTATGCATTTTCTATTTTTGGGAAATTACATTGTATGGACTTTAATACTTTTGAGTGGAATATTATTCTCGATAATTCCTCAGAGTTAGTTAAATAGCCACAGAATTGACTAATTATAGATTTATTATATAAATATTAACAAGTAAACTAATTTCTTAAATTCAACATTACAACAACTATATTACTGTTTCTAACACACTAAATAGAGTGTTCCATTTCATCTTTTCTTAAGCTGTGACCCTGGCTTAGGTGGCATTAAGCTGTTTTATTAGGTTTAAAGATTCTTCTTTGCAGCCACACTACTCGTTCCATAATTTGATAGGGAACTCTTTGATTCTTCTTTTATAACTTTGTCAGTTTTATTCCCTTTTGTAGATGATGAGGAAGATAGTTTCATATTTAGTCCAACCGAAGGTGCACCTGAAATACTTATTGGCTTCCTTTCTGCTTTCATGCTACTCTAAGCTCTATTATCCTTTAGTGCCCCAAGAAGGAATGAAGAGGTGCCGAGAGTAGTACCTGATGAAGAATTGACATTATGCATCTTTTTCATATAATCATCTTTCATCTATTTAATCATCGATTCCATTTCTTTTCTCTTTGAAGAATCCTTCTCTTCTCTTTCAATTGTACTAAGCCTCAACTCGTTCTCATATAGCTCCTTATCCTTGACATTTTAATATATCATTACTTCATCTAAGTATTCAGGTTCCCTGATTTTCTACTATATTTCGTTAGCTAAGCTAACTAGTTCTCGACCAACTATCTTGCTTGAATATTTCTGCATTATCTAATTTAGAATCTGATCTATTTTATCTTAGGATTTATATTCATCCATTTTGAGCCTGATTTATGGAATCAGTCTAACAAAAACTATTAAAAGTTATATAGTTTCTTCATCTTTGAACCTTAATAGACTTTCCATAAATGTTTACTTAAAATATGTCTTTGAAATTTATGGCAGTAGATTTTCTACGAAGCATAGGAATATCATTCGATTCTAGTATGTTCTAGAGGAAGCAAAATCCTTGATCATAGCCTCTTAAATTGATTATCTTAAGAAATTATTTGGATGCTTGCCAATTACGTTAGCAAAGGATTGAGCGATATATTTCTTGACGGGAAAAGGACAATATGTTTACTTTAATCCTTTAACACATAGTGGAAATATTTCTAAAGTAGTATCATCTCTATCTACATATTTAAACAATTTCTAAAGAAATTCATAGTAATTAACTAGATATCTCCAGTTGTTCTACAATTTCTTTTCCAGAACAGTTGAAATGAGAGGCTTTCTAATCTTATCGAGAAAAAATTTGTATATGGGTTTATCTATTACATTTTAATTTGTAATGAAGAATTTCATCACTTCATCTGCATTAACTATAATATTATTTACAGTTTCTTTTCTAGTGCATTTTATTGCTGTTACATAAAAATCTAGTATCTCATTTTTTATAGAATCAAGCGATCCTATTGAGGAATCACTAATCATAAGAGTGTTTAATATGAGATGATGTAATTTAGCTGCAATAGTATCCTTTAGTTCATTGTCCTCACCAGAAAATGCTTCTTTTATAAATGATTAGTACAGAGGCAAATAGAAACTCTTGAGTAATTTTACATTATTACCATAAATATCACATAAGCCTTATAAGCATTCTGCAATAATCATTTTATTATTATCGCACAATAAATTTATCTTGAGACAATCATAGATAAGATCAATAAGACCCTCGTCATCTTTGTTCCTCATTATTAGAATAAGGTCATTAAGATTTTTATAAACAGTCTGCTTCACTTCATTTTATATTTTTTCACTATCACCTTGAATGTTACCTTAGGTATTTAAGTTTTGAACATGCATTAATATCTTTTTAATAGTAGCTAGATTTTCGGCGCCTTACTTTTATTCTTATGTAAGAATCTTCTTATTAAATTTAATGTATGTTTAGATGGCCTGATGAAATACTTCTACTTCTTCATCATTTAAGAGCTCAATTAACTCAGGCAAAATAATTTGAGTTACCAATTAATGTCCAAGATATTTACTGATTTTCGTCAGGTTTAGACACATCTCTTTTCTAATTTCCCAATTAAAATCTTGGCACATATTTTTAATTTTACTTAAGCATCGACTAGTATAAGTATCCTTTTGCCTAATACTTTGATTTTTTGCTAATTGAGCTAGGAAAAAAGGGACACTTATTTTAACTTAGAACGGTGATGGCTAATCACCCATCTTGTTAACAAGCTCCAAGCAATCTCTCTCAAACTTATCAGCATTTGCTTAATCTTCGCAAGTAATTCTTGGAAGTAGGATTGCATATACTTCTATCCATTTCATTAATACACTCTTACTCCACTACTTCATCATTTATGAAGCAACCTTAAGAAGCTCTTTAAAAAATTATGAATCTAATATCTAAAAAAAGATTATGAGCTCATTAATAATCATCAAAAAGTTTCTTACCTTTTATTTTAATAAAGTGATAAATGCTTCTCCTGCCTGAATCTATATCTCTTCTGACCAATCGCCTAAGCCTCTCTATTATAATTGAAGATATTCAACTTTACCAAGATTAAGGGAATAATCTATTCTTGCATTGACTTATTTTCTCTAAAGATAACAACTGCATTGACAAATACATAGGCTTGCTAAGTCTGGTTTTTCTTTTGTAACAATATCTTTATTCTTTACTCCTCTGATAAATCCTCTTGTAAAGATAATTTTTATATTTCTTCCTCAGGCTATATCAATTAATGTCATTCAAATATTTTACGATCTATGGCAAATTGAACTCGTTAATTTCATCCTCCTTTATTGGTAATTTGTATTTAGTAGAATTCATCTTTTTATCTTTTCAATTTAATGATATTTATATAATATATTTATTACAAATTATGATAAATTATCATGAAATTAAAACCTTTCCTGAATTCATCACTATTTTGAATATTGGGGTTTTGGGGTTTTGGGGTTTTGGGG